TTCAAGGAGCCTTTTCCCCCCTCGAGGAGCCGTGATGCCCACTGCCAGGAAGCTCAGGTACCTGCTGGAACGCTTGGTTGAGGTGTCCCTGCTGCAGCAGCTGAAGGATGTGAGTTTGCTGAGACTGGAAATCCAAGTGAGTGGAGGGGATCGGAGTCCCGGCCGCCGAGCGCATCGCCTGGACGATGCTGGACGTGACAGCCGCTTGCTGCTCCTTCATAGCCAGGCTCACTTCTCCTTTAATGATTCTCTGCACCTGAGTCAAAATAGACTCCTGCATGCTAGAAAAAAGGAAAAAGAAACAAAACCCAAAGGCATCTCTGAAAATGAAACAGAGGGACAACGCTGCACAGAGCTTGTAGCAGCAAGAGCACAGGCTTGCTCGCTTATTGTGGCGCGTGCTGGGACTGTTCGGGAAAGCAATGCTTCCGGGAACTCTTTCATTACTCAGCGTTTTAAATCTTTAATGTCTCCGGCTTACAAGCAAGGCTACGGGGTTCACCCCCGAACGGGCGACGCGCTCTACGTCAGATCTCTCAGCTGCAGTTTCCCAGCCTGCAGATGCCACCTTTAGAGCACATTTCCCCCGAGCCTTCTTCACAGAAGAGAGTTGACAAGGCAGGCTCTGCCGCTGCACGTTCCACCATTCCCCTCCCCAAGGGCTGGATTCTCCCCTCTCACAAAGCACCAAAGCGGCTCTACCGCAGGCAGAATAGCGAGGGCTTCCCTGGGAGCAAGCGCAGCGTGCGTAACATGACCGGGATTTAATCCAGCAGCCTCCCTGGCAAGTCTGGTTTGCAGCAAAGACCCCAATCGCACTCCCACACATGTTCGAGCGGCTTAAAATAGACAGGGGCTTTCTGCCTGAATACTTGACCACCGGCCAAGTCTGACCGCCTGGCACCCCGCCCCAGCAGCTTCACGGTGTGAAGGAGCCGCTGGGATCACCCCTTGAAATCAGGGTGGCCAAGCAGGAATCTCTGGGAGGACAAAGTAGCCCACAGAAACTGTCGGTGTGCCCAAAGCATCCAAAATCCTTCGAAGGACCAGAAAAACATTTCAGAGCAGGAAGGCTGGTCAGAATTGAGGAGACAAACAGCCCCACAGCGGCCAACGCCTCGTTCCACCACTAGTAGGGAGAAGTTTTTGTGATGCCTGTGCCTATCTCTCGCTGATACCTCCCTCCACAAGCCCAGCCGCCAACTTACTTGCCCACGATAATGTGCAGCTGATGCTGCACCTCCGCGTGGATGCTGGCTGTGACGGTGGAAGCCAGCTGCTCCGTGGTGCTCTGGAAGGTGCTGATGAGCTGCCGAAGCTGATTCAGCAGCGGGTCCCGGGCCTCCTGTTCTCGTACCTTCTTGTTCTTCAAGTGAGTCTCAAGCTGCTGGATATCTGCAACGAGCAGAGAGGAAGACGTTTGTGCCAGCGGCACCTGCAGAGGTGGTCAGGGCAGAAACCCAGTGGCCAGGCAGCAGAAACAAGTAGTGAGTCAGCGTACGAGCCCAGGAGGGAGGGAAGAAGGCACAGGTTTGTTTGGGGCCGTGTCACACTAACCCTGAAATCCTGCTTCCAGCCTCCTCATCACGCAGGATTATGCAACACAGCACCAAAGCCACGAATTCCCTCACAAGAGAGCTCTACAGGCACTGTTTGTTCATGGCAAGGCAAAGGTGGGAGCCAGGGTATTTTATTTCATAAGCGGCGTGTGCTGTGATCTGCGTTAGTGACGGAGTTCGACGCCAATGAAGAAAGAGGAGGAATGTTTCTGACTGAAAAAATCATCCTGTCTGCAGAGATCACAAAGCTGTACTTCAAAATATCTTATGGACCGGTCTGAGCAAAAGGGAGAAGAACACAAGCTCTATTCACTTGCAGGAGGCTTGTGAGAGAAAGGAAGGATGCAAACCAAAGAGCAGCTGGAGATGCCACAGGTCTATGGACAACACAAGTTGCTGTGCCGGCATCAGGCAACTTCAGCCTCCGTAAAAAAGGAGTTCTGCAGATGAATACCTGCCTGGCCTCCCAGAAGATCAAGGAACTGGACCCCAAGCCTGACAAAAAACCTTCTCCAGTGCAGCAGCATATAATTTTCCTCATTTAAGAGCACAGTTGGGTTTTGTTCCAGCCTGACTCTGGTCTATCTACAGTGGTCAGGCACTGTTTAACTCTGAATCATCCCTGTACCCTTCTCTAAACTTGCCCCACCTCCACTGCCCCTCTGCAGCGCTGCTACCTTCTCTGTATACCATCTTCCTGACGTCAGGACAGGGTAATCCTACAGCTGGGCTTTTCTACTCAACACGTGAAGCCACAGATTTGCGGGATGAGGCTAAGTGTTTCTCTGCACGGGCTACAAAGACCAGGTGAACCTCTGATCTTGTAGGAACCCCCCACAAAGAAGCCCCTTGCTTCTGCTTTGATTTCTCAAGCATGAAACGGAGCGTGTGGGTGGGCTACGAGGTTAAACAGTCACCAGTGAAACTCTGAGAGGCAAAGACCTAAGGAAAGGCCAAGGTGTTGGCAGTCACTAACGCAAACACGCTGTGCTGACAGAACTCTGTGGAGAAAGCTCACTCACATTCCTGCGTGCCCTGCTTGAAGGTGTCGTTGATCTGCTGGAACATGGACTGGCAGCTCTTCTCGAAGGCTGGCAAGACGACGCTC